AGAAATAGACCAATGGATAAGCCACGCAGCTTTGATATACGTGACTGTTTCATTCACGTCCTTTCTGATTGGATAACGTTAGCTGATGGTAAAAGAAACTCGATCATCAGCTATAGGATCAGGAAGTTTGCTCCTGCCCATCAATTCGACCAACTTTAATATATACCTACTTAATAAAAGTGTTATTAATGGGCTTAACGATGAAGACTCTGAAAAATACAGTTTTTTTTTGTTTTGTAGAAGAGACGATGAACTAGAAGAAAGGGATATCACAAAAAAACAACAACAAATTCACGTACTTTGTTAAAAAAAATAAAGCTGTCTTAGTGCTAATGTATTTTCCATTTATTTATTCATTTTTTAGGAGGAATGTATATAATAACTCTATAAAAATAAGTTAACTTTTTATAAGAAGGCTGGCCTTGTTAAGAAACATTGCAATACTGAGACACGTTGATATTTTCTTTCTTATGAAGCTGTCATAATGTTATCAGTGAATAACAACAAACTTCTGAGTAATAATGGAACAAGATACTTTGGCCAGAGAGACGAAGACATATATACATTTATAAACATCACTGTCTGTCATGTTTTTTGTTTTTTTTTATATAAGTCCAGAAGTTGAAATTAATCCTTCTAGCACGTTTAGAAACCGAGAACGTGGCATGATCTTTGTTGACGTTCGTAGCGTCCTAATGTTTAGATCTGCTCGTTATACTTTACTAAGGATTTCATGCTCACAAGGCATACTTCAAGCCTCAATAAGAGCGCCTCCCATGCACGTGACACTGTCCTGCAATGCTTCAGTGAGAAACCTCGTGGTTTACAGAACAAGCGGAGCTTCAGTAGAAGATTTGTTTGTTTGTAATTAAGCGCAAAGCTACACAATGCCCACAGGTATCGAAACCCGGATTCTAGTGTTGTAAGTCTGGGGGCCATGTAGAAGATACGAGTTCTCCTACGATCACGCGGAATTTGAATGAGAGATATAATATTTTCCATCTTCAGGGTGAAGTTTGATGCTTTCCATGGAATGTCTCTGGAAGAGATACCATGATTTCCACACAATGTTTGCCATTTACATATAGGGCATCCGGATGAAACCGGAAGCTTTCTTCTGAAACTGTTTGTAACAGATATCTTGATTTCCACGTGTATTTAAAGACTTGGTAAAGATTCAGTGTTTTCGTTCTTATTTGTGTAAGACTAAGGAATTCTATAGTTCCATAGGTGTTGATGCAATATTTATCCTACATTTTACAAACACCAAATGTAACTAATAAAGTTTTATTAGTGAAATCAAAATGACGTGATGAAAAAAACAAAAAAATATATATTCACTTACCAGACGTACTGTTGCCGTCATAGCTACTAACTGATAGAGGGGAGAGTCCATGGTTGGCCATCATGGGGTGACTGTTTACATAAGGGGGTGGGGAAAGAGACATCTGAGAAGGCGAGGGTAACAGAGACCCGTCGTCCAGCCGAAGTCGTTTTGTTGAGTTGAGGACCGATCCTCCTCCGCAAGCTCCAGCTTCTAAAGGACTGCTTACACACGAACTTGGGAGACGTGGCTCTACCTTTACGATACTGGGCAGGTTGGGAGACAATGCTGGGGGCGAAGCGTGGCCGGCAACAGCACCACCTCCATTAGCTTCATTGATATACAGGCTTCCAGGTAGCATAACTGGCTTCATGGTGAAATTAAGGGCGTGAAGGTACTGCTGCACTGACTCCTTACTGTCCATAGCAGCTAGGGGCTAAAGAGTCCGAGCTAGGGGCAATCAAGGCCACAAATGAGGGCTGTCTAGTGGTTGCTTCATTATAAGTTCCTTGTTTTTTTGTACTTGTTGCGGCTCAGCTTATTGTAATCTCTCCGAAGTGAAACGGATACGTTTTATTAAGCCTTTACGTTGGTTTTGCTGTTAAACCTCTTTGTCTTACGGGGAAGCCAACTTACAACCGATCTGTAAAAGAAAAGGGGAAAAAATGCACCTGTAAATGAAAAGGACAACGCAATAAGTAAACACGCTAACACTAACTGTATATTAACATTGGGATCTCGACTGAAACTGACAAGGTAAATATCTAACTAAATCTTTCATGTGGCTTATCGTAACAGGTGCACCGGACAGATGTATTTCTTAATTATTACACAATCTTAATGAAGAAATGTCTGTATCATAGTTATGTAATACGAAACGGTCAAACTACCACACGTAACGTTTTACTTCCGCAACGCATACAAACTGTCTATTAGTTTTTTGTTCTTAAAATTAAAAACGAAACTCAAAAAGACCCGCCGTCTTCAAGAAACTATCGAAAACACTCTACTTCGACTATTCAAAAAGACGTTATGACAATCGGACTTCGAACCCATTTTACAAACCACGTGGTTCCTGTTAGAATTTCGCGTCATAAGTTTATGTTTTTTGTGTGTGTAAGGTCTATTCTTAGTAAATTAGGCACTTTTGTTGTTGCTATTCTCATTTTATCCAAAATGTAAAGCAGATCGGAAACTAACTAGTGTCTTGCGTGCCGGAGAATTTAACTAATATAACTACGGATGAAAGGGCAGATATATAACTGATGTACCCCTCTCTCTGAATTAATAATGGATACATCTGTGCATAAACCTGAACATGAGGTAACTGGTAGTGCTTTTTTACACAAACTGTGAGATGAATATAGATACACGTACGACTGATGGAAAAATTGGTTAAATGTAACCAAAACAAACCATCAGAGTCCACTTCCTTTAACCTGATATACACGTGTACATGCTACGATTCCTTTAGGGAACAAGTTCAATGAAACATTACAATATGTCTGAAAATCTTCCAACATTTTTACTTTTAACTCGATCAGTGTAGTCTTTCCGAATTATTTGAAAGTACTATTGAAACTATAATGTCAGCTGGATTATTTGAAAGTATTGTTAAAACTATAATGTCAGCTGGATTATTTGAAAGTATTGTTGAAACTATAATGTCAGCTGGATTATTTGAAAGTATTGTTGAAACTATAATGTCAGCTGGATTATTTGAAAGTATTGTTAAAACTATAATGTCAGCTGGATTATTTGAAAGTATTGTTAAAACAATAATGCCAGCTGGATTATTTGAAAGCATTGTTGAAACTATAATGCCAGCTGGATTATTTGAAAAGTATTGTTGAAACTATAATGCCAGCTGAATTATTTGAATAGTATTGTTGAAACTATAATGCCAGCTGGATTATTTGAAAAGTATTGTTGAAACTATAATGCCAGCTGGATTATTTGAAAAGTATTGTTGAAACTATAATGCAACTCTTCAGACGGAAAAACCTGTATTGAACCTGCTATCGGTGAAGAATTAAAAATATTTTTAATTCCATTGTGACTTTTCACTAAACCTGTTACTCCGAAAAGGGTCAGCTTCGGTGTTATTAAATTGAACAAATGTTTTCCTATTAGATGTTGGCCTACATGTGACCCACTACAACGTTATGTAAGCCTAACCACGTGTCTGTAACTGGAGGCCAAACGCATGTGTTTTTATAGCTCTTTATACGAATATATTGTGTTTACTTTTCAAACGTTCAGATACGGTTTACGACTAAAACCTGGCAGACCACCCTATAGAGCAATGTTTAATTAAACGTAGCTGGTTTGTTAGTTTGTAGTTTTATATACGTGATATTTCACCTCTTTTCACCGTATTCTTCAATAACATTAATTTTCTTCGAGCTGTTGATATTTATTTTTTTTTATGTTTTTCGCTCTTTTTTTTTAATTTTTGGACTGCAACCAACCACCGAAGAAAGGGTGGTTTCACATCGTGACCTAGGTTATAATTAGCGAACGAAACCCATGCAGCACGGATAAGCTATAGTTGGCCCAAACCATCACTATTACCATGGCAACAGTCGTGAATTCCGTGCTTGAAATAAATTCATTTAACAATCTTTATTCCTGACAAACTAGCTCAAAAGTTAGATATTTATGTTTCGCTAAGGAATAAGCCGAATGATTGGAGATGTATTTTACCACTCATTAATCGATAATATTGCTTCAAACCACGTGCGAGTTAAATCTCCGTAATATAAGGATTAGATATTTATTTAGCTGTAGTATCAGAGAAGCGAGATGGTAGCAAGATACACGTTTAACTGTAATACCCGAGTGGGTTGGTGTTTACATGATAGATATCTAGCTGTAATATCAGAGTATACTGGTGTTTGTATGATACACATATAACTGTAATATCTGAGTAAACTGGTGTTTGTATGATACATATATAACTGTAATATCTGAGTAAACTGGTGTTTGTATGCTACATATATAACTGTAATAACCGAGTGGGTTGGTGTTTACATGATAGATATCTAGCTGTAATATCTGAGTAAACTGGTGTTTGTATGATACACATTTAACTGTAATACCCGAGTGGGTTGGTGTTTACATGATAGATATCTAGCTGTAATATCAGAGTAAACTGGTGTTTGTATGATACATATATAACTGTAATATCTGAGTAAACTGGTGTTTGTATGCTACATATATAACTGTAATAACCGAGTGGGTTGGTGTTTACATGATAGATATCTAGCTGTAATATCTGAGTAAACTGGTGTTTGTATGATACACATATAACTGTAATATCTGAGTAAACTGGTGTTTGTATGATACATATATAGTTAAATATCTTGTAACCATCACTCTACTCGGATATTACAGTCTACAAAATATCTTGTAACCATCACTGTACTCTGATATTACAGTTAAATATCTTGTAACCATCACTCTACTCTGATAAGTTAAATATCTTGTAACCATCACTCTACTCGGATATTACAGTGTAACCATCACTGTACTCTGATATTACAATTAAATATCTAGTAACCATCACTCTACTCTGATATTACAATTAAATATCTTGTAACCATCACTCTACTCTGATATTACTAGATATTTTACTGTAATATCAGAGTAGAGTGATGGTTACAAAATATTTAACTGTAGTATCAGAGTACAGTGATGGTTACAAGATATTTAACTGTAATATCAGAGTACAGTGATGGTTACAAGATATTTAACTGTAGATATTTAACCGAATTTTAGCGTTATAAGCCTTCAAGCTTATCGCTGACCCACAATGGGGGTGAGGGAGCTATCACACCAGGGAAGTCATTACGACAAACAATACTGACAACAACGCGAGGGTATCTAGCAAATGATGTAGTGTGACGTAATCGATCATATGATGTAGTGTGACCTATTCGATCAAATGATCTAGCGTGACCTGATCGATCATATGATGTAGCGTGACCTATTCGATCAAATGATGTAGTGTCACCTAATCGATCAAATGATCTAGCGTGACCTGATCGATCAAATGATCTAGCGTGACCTACTCGATCAAATGATCTAGCGTGACCTAATCGATCAAATGATGTAGCGTGATCTAATCGATCAAATGATGTAGCGCGACCTAATCGATCATATGATCTAGCGTGACCTAATCGATCATATGATGTAGCGTGACCTGATCGATCATATGATGTAGCGTGACCTGATCGATCATATGATCTAGCGTGACCTAATCGATCATATGATGTAGCGTGACCTGATCGATCAAATGATCTAGCGTGACCTAATCGATCAAATGATCTAGCGTGACCTATTCGATCAAATGATGTAGTCACCTAATCGATCATATGATCTAGCGTGACCTGATCGATCAAATGATCTAGCGTGACCTGATCGATCAAATGATCTAGCGTGACCTAATCGATCAAAT